TGGTTTTGAGGTCATGCTTATAACTAGTAACTAAGGTTTTAGGGAATGTAAATTTGTTTTTGATTTGCTGTCCAGGGGTACAATTTCCCACGTTTTGCATAGCTAAATCCATTGAATAACAAATCACACTTCAGTAATAATCTCCAGCATTAAATATATGATGTAAATAAAGAATGAATATTTGGTCTTCCTCCCCAGTTCCCAGCATAGAGCACCCTTGGATAAGAGTGTCTTTTGGAGCCTGGCACAATGGCTCACACCTGTAATACCAGTTACCCCAGAGGCTGAGGCAGCAGGATTGCTTGAGGCCAGGAGTTTGAGACCAGCCTGGGAAACACAGTGAGACCCCATCTCTTTGTGTGTATATATATATATATATATATATATATATATATATATATATAGCCTGGCATGGTGGTACACATCTATAGTCCCAGCTACTTTGGAAGCTGATGGGGAAGATCACTTGAACCCAGGAATTCGAGGCTGTAGTGAGCTATGATTGAGTTACTGCATTTCAGCTCTGGGGGCAGATTGTACCTCTGGGCAACAGAGGGAGACCCCATCCTTTCCCCTCCTCACCCCCAAAAAAGAGTGTCTTTTGTAGGCAAATGAGATGACTCTTGGCTGAGGGGATCTTAGATAGCTTCTGGATTGGGCAGGTCTCCAGAAAAACAAACCATACGTCCAGAGGGATGGCATTTTCAGTCCCCCTTCCAACCTTTTTTGTGCCCCTTAAATCGTCACGTCCCAATCATTGTGCAGGTTCTCTCTAATTTGGAGAAAAAGCTAGGATGTCACCATGCATCTGTTTTAAGACTACAATTGTTGTGCTCATTTTTGATAGTGAAGTTTTGAAGAAAGGAGGATGTTGATGGCATTTGCAGAATGGAAAAATGGTGGTTATATTTTTTTCAGCAGCGAAGAGTGCTATTCAATAAGTACATCTAGGTTTAATTCCAAAACTTCCTGCCTCTTTACCAAACGATCTAGGTAGGAGGACTTATAAAAGACACAAAATTAATAAAATGGGCATACAAGAGGGCAAAGCAAGATAAGGAAGAGCAAAACAAATATCTGGACCACGAAGGTTTAGCAGAGGCACAGGCTCTCTGGTTCCTGATTGCACAACACAGAAGGAAATGTGAAGAATTACACAATTTTTATCATATGAATTGAGGACACATAACAGTTTCTCATGGATGGAGGAATACTTTCTGTATTTGAGTTGTCAATTAATTTTTGTATTATTAGATGTGGGGAATATTGTTATTGAAATGGAGTATGTTAGGCGCATATAAAAATATAAGTTTATTAGTGTTAGTATGGCTATAGTAAGGGGGGTGATGAGATTATTATTTTTTGTATGATTCCTAGGACCCAGCCCCAAGACGTTCAGTCTTCATGGTGGACTCTGAGTAAAAGAAGATGTGTCCTATAATGAATAATGCCCTCCTCAGTGTTTTCACAGTCATTGCAGTTGTAATCCTGATAGAGATTGGATATGTGCCCCACCCAAATCTCATGTTGACACGTAATCCCCAATGTCAGAGGTGGGGCCTGGTGGGAGACGATTGCATCATGGGGGTGGATTTCTCAGGAATGGTTTAGCACTGTGCCTTTGGTACTGTCCTCGCAATAGCGAGTGAGTTCTCATGAGATCTGGTCATTTGGAAGTGTGCGGCACCTCCCCTTGCACTCTCTTGCTTCTGCTCTCTACATGTGACGTGCCTGCCCCCACTTTGCCTTCTGCCATGACTGGAAGCTTCCTGGAACCTCCCCAGAAGCAGATGCCACTATGCTTTCTGCAGGGTCTGCAGAACCATGAGCCAATTAAACCTCTTGTCTTATAAATTACCCAGTCTTGGGTATTTCTTTAAAGCAATGCAAAAACGAATACAAATCTCTAGTAAAATCAAAGGTATAATATGAAAGGTGTAAGTCTGGTGGATAAATGTGGCTTACAAGTGTTATAACTTTCATAGCACTTTGAATATACCTTAAATTATGTTGCCCAAAGAATTTTGACTGGGATTTTGGTAGGAGTTGGCTGTTCAGTGGCTCAAGAGGGGCCTGGACTCATTGCCCCGCTCTGATCATTAAGGCCAGATTCTAGAAAGTAGGCAGGAAGTTGGCTGTGCTTACGTTCTCTGATGAAAATTATAGTGTGCTGTGGTTTGAATATTTGCACACCTCCAAAATTCAGTGCTTAGACTTGCATTGCAGCTTTCCCACACTTCACCCCCTCTCCACCTCCTCTCACACAGTCATTTCCTCTAATAACATTTTTGCATGTTTAATCCCATCCTGAAATCTGCTTCATGGAGGACCTGAACTAATACAAAAACACAACTTTTGTTGTTATTTCAATTGATATTTAACCTTTCTGACAATATAAACACTGTAGGTCCTTGCTTCTCATAGGAAGGATCTGATCTATTTCAATTTATGACAGGTTTTTTTTTTTAGACAGAGTTTCGATCTTGTTGCCCAGGCTGGAGTGCAATGGCATGATCTTGGCTCACTGCAACCTCCACCTCCTGGGTTTAAGTGATTCTCCTGCCTCAGCCTCCCAAGTAGCTGGGCTTACAGGCATTCACCACCATGCCTGCCTAATATACTTTTAGTAGAGATGGGGTTTCTCCATGTTGGTCAGGCTGGTTTCAAACTCCCAAAGTCAGTTGATCTGCCCACCTCAGCCTCCCAAAGTGCTGGGATTACGGGTGTGAGCCACTACACCTAGATGGGTTGTTTTTTTAGCCAGACTTTTGCCCTAGGTGAATGCTCATCATTCTATTCCTATGGCAGAGGGATAAGCAGCTGATTACACTCTTACACTATAAAAGAAAAAGGAAGAAGGATATGACCTAGCCTTGCTTTAACATTGAGGGGGTTATTTTATTTTATTATTTTATTTATTTTTTGAGACAGGTTCTCTCCGTTGACCAGGGTGGAGTACAGTGGCACAATCACAGCTCACTACAGCCTCTACCTCCCGGGCTCAAGCAATTGAGGGGCTTATTTTAAATGTATGGTGTAATCCACATCTAAGTCCTGTTTGCAAAATGAGAAGTTGATGAAGGAAAACTCAATGAAAGCTGTGGAGTCTTAATCTTGCTTTTGGCAGCACCAGCCCTGGCATCCACCTCAGGGCCTCGCCTGCAAAGACAGAGAATTAACATTTGCTGAATGAATGGAGACACCATGTGAAGATTGCATGGCTCCCTTCAGAGCCTAAATATTTAATATATGAGACACTGAAGGTCTGAACTAGAATATTTGATAAGCAGACATTCAGAGTTGAGTGTCAGATGTTCTGCACGGAGATGATGGACGGGCACCTATAGGGTTCTGCAAGCTCAGTAATAGATGTTGTTCAAGAAGAACTGTAAGTTAGAGTCAGGACACACAGAGAATGTGCCTCTTTGGGGCCAATAAAAAAAGGGAATGAGCCCAGAGGAAGGACTCAAGATTAGTTGCAAATTGATATCCCAAATGTTCTGGCATAGTTCTAGGAAAAAACCTTCCTCCTAAATTTCAAAGTCCAAGTAATACTGACTCCATCCTCTAGCACAAAGGAATTCTATAGCAACAAAGCATAGGAGTTGTACATGAAGGCAAAGGTCATTTGTCTTAGCTCATGTCCTATGGTAAAGCAGAGCTTCTTTAAGTCAGCTATTCAAGCTGCTGAAGCTCTACCCAAAAGCCCTAGCCCTTTCTCTGATATGAGACACAGAATCTCTGTGTTTCCAAATTGGAATCAATTGTTGTTGTTGTTTTGAAATGGAGTTTTGTTCTTGTCACCCAGGCTAGAGTACAGTGGCATGATCTCACTGCAACCTCCACCTCCCATGTCCAAGCAATTCTTGGACACCACACCTGGCTAATTTTTAATTCCCACCACCACACCTGGTTAACTTTTTTCTATTTTTAGCAGTGATGGGGTTTAATTTTTTTTTTTTTAGTAGAGACGGGGTTTAATTTTTAATTCCCACCACCACATCTGGTTAATTTTTTTCTATTTTTAGTAGAGACGGGGTTTAATTTTTTTTAATTCCCGCCACCACATCTGGCTAATATTTTTCTATTTTTAGTAGAGACGGGGTTTCACCATATTGGCCAGGCTGGTCTTGAACTCCTGACTTCAGGTGATCTGCCTGCCTCAGCCTCCTAAAGTGCTGGGATTACAGGTGTGAGACACTGCACCTGGCACAATTGTTTTTTATAACTAGAAATGTGTTGAGCTTTTCTCCAACAAACCAGGAAGGTCAGGAAATTTGTTCTAGAGACCTCTTTGTGGTTGCTTAATGCAGCGCTCATGTAGACACACCTGCAAATCTAAGGAAATGACCCTCTAAGGACTGGTTAGCCATTTAAAATGTGGGCCAAGATAGGCTATTAAATTCTAATCCTCACTGCTTTATTACAGCTTCCTCATATTATTAGCCTACAAACAGTTAAGAACACAATGAAGTTCCTTCACTGGCTTCATTGCCCTATTAATTCCTGATGGCACCTATATTCCCCTATATTTTCTTTTAAAAATATATGAGTGGAAGCTGCAACTTTGTGAATTCAGATATTTTTGGATTTTTGCCTTCCTGAGGAAGTGAGAGTTTAGCTTTTTGTTTTGGTTTGAGACGGAGTCTCATTCTGTCACCCATGCTGTCACCCAGTGCCATGATCTCCACTCACCACAACCTCTGCTTCCTGGTTTTAAGTGATTCTCCTGCCTCAGCCTCCCAAGTAGCTGGGATTACAGATGCCTGCCACTACACCTGGCTAATTTTTATATTTTTAGTAGAGAAGAGGTTTCATCATGTTGACCAGGCTGGTGTTGAACTCCCGACCTCAGATGATCCATCTGCCTCGGCCTCCTAAAGTGCTGGGATTACAGGTGTGAGCCACTGCACCCAGTCAGTTTGGCTTATTTTAAAATAATTTTTCAGTGGTCCCATGGGGCTTGCAGCACCTCTTACTAGAAGCTCATTTCAACATACCTCCGATCTGTGGGGTACAGTTCCACGGTGACCACATCAAGAGAGTTCCAGGCCGAGATGGTCAATCCATTGTACAGACACAGCATGCCTATCATCATGGATTCACTGGTGCCGAACCAAAGGAAGAAACAGCTGATCCCCGAAAGCACCATAGAGCCACCTGCCAACAATACAGACAAAAGGCTGGAATGTTTCCCGTCATCTTCGTAAAGCAAGAACCCTTGGGTCCTTGGAGTTACTCGAGAAAGCTGAATTCTAAGTGGAAGCTTAGAATGGGCTCCATAAAGCTGAAGAACTGGTGCATTCACCTGAATGAAAGGCTCTAACTGCCTCTGAACACAGAAAGTACGAAATGCATATCATCTATTACTCAGCTACGTAAATGCGAAAATACACATTAGTTTCACCTAATTAGTTTTTCAGCTGTTAACTCATGAAAACCACTCAAATGAAATGTAATTAGACATAATTTTCACTATAATTTAGTCTTAATGTAAGATCTAAGGGATTTCTCTTCACTGGATGCGAATCCCTAATGGCTGGGAGTACAGTGAGAAACAGGGTCCCTCTGGATTTTATTTGACATGAAACTGGGTATATACCTAGCATTGTTAAGCGCCCAATTCTGTCCATCAGGAGAGCTGACACAATGTTCCCTGGCAATACTGCCAATGTCCCCAGAAAGTTGACAAAATAAATCCAGTAGGCACTGTAGTCATCATCAAAGGTAATCTGACATCCCGTCTTGTTGTGAAAAAATGAGCAGTTTGTAAATTCACTGTCAATGAATTTATATGGCTCAAAATCTGTAGAAACGACAACAAAGACAATTCATCAAACTCTTACCAGGCATACACCAATGTAAGAAAGCCGACTGAGAATTCACAGTATTGTAAATTCCTTGAGGGCTTTCAGGCCTGTGCTGGCTTGACTTTTTGTGTCTTTTGGCCGAAGCATAAGATCTAATCTGGGTCTTCACATTATAAAGTAGCTGAATGATGAGATACCTTTATTGAATAAAGGAATAAATTAAATTAAGGGGTACAGTTATCTTCTGATTTCCTATGGTTGGCCATTGCTAATTATATTACTTGCTTACTCCTTTACAGTAGTACTTCGTTGTAATTATCATGTTACATAAAGACTATCATTATACTACTAATAGTGTCCATACTACAATTATAAAAGCAATTTGTTGCAAAATGTGCATGGGCTGGGTGTGGTGGCTCACACCTGTAATCCCAGTGCTTTGTGAGGCTGAGGTGGGAGGGCTGCTTGAACAGGAGTTCAAGACTAACTTGGACAACAAAATGAGACACCATCTCCACACACACACACACACACACACACACACACACACATGCACGCACACAATAATTTTTTATTTGAGGCTGCAGTGAGCTGTGATTGCGCCACTGTACTCCAGCCTGAATGACAGAGCAAGACCAGGTCTCTAAAGGAAGAAAAAGTGCAAGAGTCAGCGTTACCATTGCCATTTTATGAGACTCTAGGACACAGAGAAGGAAAAAGTCTTTCCTGAGGCTGAATTTATAATTTAAAGTCTATTGTGTGAATCTACTGAGAAACAAGAGTCAGCCTCATCTGAAGATCACCAGCACTCATTGCTAATCTTTCTTGAATTTGAAACCATCCAAAAAAAGTTGCAGATGGTGATGGTTTTTGCTAAAATGTTGTGAGAATCAGAACTATCTTCCTTGCTGATCAAGATCTGACAAAATGTTAGTCTTCTGAGGTTTAATGGGTTAGAAGACAGGTAGATAGCACTGCTTAAAAAACAAGAAACAGAAAGACACCTGACCCCTTTCTCCTTTGGAGCCAGGTAGAGCTGGCTCCTGTCTGAGCACCAAGAAGACAGGTTTGGCAACAGGGCAAATGTTAATGCTCCTGCCAATGCCAGGCCCTTATGCTAGGTTAATTTTACAGGGCACAGAGACCAATGTTTGGGAGTGGGAAAGCAGAAAGCACAGGCTTTGATATCAGATAAACCTGAGTTCAAACATCTGCTATTCCTAGTTCTATAATTGTGGACAAATTACTTAATCTTCCTAAGCCTCAGCTACTGTGAAAACTAAATGAGATAATGAATGTCTAATAACCTGGAATAGAAAACAGTATACAGGTATTCAATCAATGCTTGTTTCTCTTCCTTCCCCACCGCCCCCTGGGGAATTAAAAAAACCCCATTATATGGATTGAGTATAGCCACATGTTGTCTATCTCTGTTGGCTATAGAGTTGAGGCACTTAAACAAACACCAGATTTTGAACTCAGGATTATCAAAACAAATAAACTACAGGTTACCTCTTTGCTTTAAAAATGTATTCATCAAGGCTGGGCACTGTGGCTCACACCTGTAATCCCAGCACTTTGGGAGGCCAAGGCGGGTAGATCACCTGAGTTCAGGAGTTTGAGATCAGCCTGACCAACATGGAGAAACCCCGTCTCTACTAAAAATAAAAGAAATTAGCCAGGCGCAGTGGCGCATGCCTGTAATCCCAACTATTTGGGAGGCTGAGGCAGGAGAATCCCTTGAACCCAGAAGGTGGAGGTTGTGGTGACCGGAGATCATGCCATTGCTCTCCAGCCTGGGCAACAAGACCAAAACTCCATCTCAAAAAAAAAAAAAATGTATTTATCAAAGGATTTGTTGTTGTTGTTGTCAACTTTTTAACTTTGGCAAGCTCCATTTGCATTAAATCTGACAAAGACAAATGATACAAGCCAATGTTTGATCCGACCTGATTTAAGGAACTTGTTCCATTTATTCTTTAATATCCACTTCCTGGACAAGCCTCTGCCCACACTATCACACGGTCATCACAGTGGGTCCTTTGAAGAGGCCTCAGGTAGAGGCAGTGCTAAGCAGAACACCTACCTGTGTTGTCAAAAACAGTATCAATAAATGTGCAGTTCTTGAAGTAGGTGTTGAGTGAAGTCACATCCTCAAAGGTGCAGGACTTAAAAACGGAGTCTTTGAAAGTTACAGATTTGAATTTGACCCCTACAAATCTGTCCAACACACAGAAAAATTCATATCAATCAATGACTGGGTCCATCAAAGTTCAAAGCTAAGTCAAACAGTTTTAGAGATGGAATGCTCCACTGTGGACTGTTTTAATTATACAGAACACAGACTTCTAGATTTTCTTAGCCTTCGGCTCTTTCCCTTTTTCCTCATCCAGGCTGTCCTTTGGCTCTTTGTTGCTTACCAATATTATTTTTCACCAGAAAAAGGGATGACACTCCTAACCTCCCTCAGCTTTTTGCAATGTTGGTAACAATTGTGTGGGATATGCAACTGAAGATAGTTTGGGGATTACCTGGGGCTGTTCTTCATTTTTTAATCCTATTGTCTTGTCTCTTCACATATATCTTTATTTGAATATTCTCTATTTGGGGTTAATACCTCTAATTTAAGGTTGTCCTTGCACCTGATCTTTTAATCAAATTATTTTTCCCTAGCTGAAAATCCAGTTCTTCTTGATGCTAGTGTGGGGACCTCCAGTTATCCTGAAGAGAGGACATGAGAATTCTGTTTCATTTATGTGAAGCATAACTGACTTGGGGTTGAAGAAACTCACGGGTGATACTCATTTCCAGGATAATTTTTCTTCTTACAGCCAACAGATAGTCCTCAAACCAAATAGAATTATGAAAGCCCTGCTTATTTTTAGAAACATGGTATCTGTTCAGGTACATTTTTGGGTGTTATAATGGGAATTCTATGTGGTAGAGATGATAATAGTCATAATAATCATAACATCTTAGAAGAATCCATGATTCAGACCTTATCAGCACTGATGAGGACTCCCAGCAGACACAGATATTCATTAATGCATCTTGGTATTTTATTAAGAGACTATGATGTACACTTAGCCGGTCACTGAGAGGAAAATGTTTGTTCTCTTGGGGAAGGAGTTATTATGTCAATACCACTCTTAATAGGGGCAGAAGAGGATTTATCCTTCTAAGTAAATGGGCTGATTTAAAAGTAATTTCCTAACTATTGAGTACTTCAAATTTATTTTCTCCCTAATACCCAATTACATGTGTTCGTTCAAAATGCACTGTGGCCTCACAGACCAATCAGCTTTAAAAAAATCACTCTCATGTTATATTACCTGGAAATAATAATAATAATCTTGTTCCAATCCCCACCCCAGGGACCCAGAGTAAAAACATCTAAATGCACCAAAAGAGGCCAATAATGGCACATCTTTAAAAAGTTATCAGTTTTTCTTTCAAGGAACTGAATTTGGAAAAGGGAATCAGTTTTATTTTTTGAATGGATAATATATACACAGAGTACACATGGTGCACAATTTGAAAGGCTGAAGATGGAAAAAGTGAGTCTTCTCCCATCAATCCCCAGGCTACAGGTTCCTCTGTCCTGAATAACCACTGCTGTCAGTTTCTTGTGTGCTCTTCCAGGAGCATTCTGTGCATAAAGTAGACCTGCTTTATCTCCTTCTGGTCTACCTTGGAGGTTAGTCCATGTCAGTGCATAAACAGTTGCCATTTTTCTGATGGGGAATAGGAAAAGTATTTTTAAAAAATGAGTCTGTTAATGGTATTTCAAATTTTTCTAAAGGACAAAAAATTGTTTCTATCATCTTTTAAAATAAATGTGTAACATATATGGTTCACAAAAATTTTAATACTATTAAAATTAGTAATCATTATGTTGCTAATGTAAAAAAGTTCTAAGCAGTGACTGAATATCCAGTTTAGAACTTTAACAAATATTACTAAAAATATCACTGTCAGAGACACAAACATATGTTAGAAATTTCTAATGGAGTAACAATACTTTTCAAAGTCAATTTTCGCCCTGGCATCACAGAGCACTTGACACTAAGCTTTCTGTGAAATGTAAGTGCAGATTCAAGTCAGTGTTTTACGTGGGAGACTGAAGGTGATCCTATTTGGCATGGATTATGATTAGTTCCTTCACTGAATTGCTAATTTGAACAATTACCTCCTAGTTAGTAACCCTCTTTTCCATTACACAGATCATAAGAATCTCACTTAATTCTTTTTCATCTTTCTAAACTGGTTTTTGCCCTGGGCAACTTTGATTATTTTAGAGTTTTACTTTTATCACTTTTGAAATTGGGCTAATTTCCTAAGAATGATGTAAACCATCATGGACTTATACAGGCAATTATTTGTTCTGGCAACACAAATGCTTGGATGTAAATAAATACTTGGTCTATTCTTTTACCTTTCTAAAAGAATGACCCAGAACCACCTCCCTGAGTCAGTTCTCTCTTGTCACCAAGAAGTATTTCAGATCCCGTAAAGGAGACCCTTTCATTTTCAAAGTCCTTTACTTTGGGAAATGATTCCTGTTCTCTAATGAAACTCTTCCTGATACAATTTAACCCCAATTCTGGATTCAACATAGTGGGGAAGGGTGAATTCTGAAAAGTGGTTCTGTTTCTCAGGAATAGAAGACTCATATAATCACATTTCAGATTTCTTCTGTGAATTAAATAATCCCGCAGCCTGTCTTACTTTCCCATACACTTTACTCTTCTCTTCCTTAAATTATTGTTTTGCTCTCCAACATTGCTCTAAATCTTCTTTCCACACCACTACTTAATAAATTTGAAGCAACTCAGTTGCAAAAACAGTTTTAAGTAACAATTATACTTGTACCTTCTATTTAAAAACCATTTGGAAGTATTGAAATTCACCATAAAAGTGACTAAATGTACAAACTAAAACAAACAAAAACTATGCATGTTTCCATGCAGGGAAGGCTAAGAAGAAATTAGATTTTGTGAATAGGCAGCAAAGTAAATTATTTCAAGTTTCTAGACCTTCCATTGTCGTATTCCATTCCAGTATGAATCTGATTTTCCATTGTAAAGTTAATACTGAAATTTGCATATTTATCTCTCTGCACATTTCTGGTTAGCAATGCATATTCATCGGATTGCAGATGTTTAATGACATCAGGGAACCAAACAGATAATCCATAGTACCTGCAAAGACAAAGAAATGTGAGTTTGTAAAGGCGCTAGCATGCCAGAGGCAATGAGCACCTCCCTGATGTTTTCAGAGTGGTAATAGTTGGCTGAGTCCCTAGAACATTATGAGTAAATTACCATACAGCAATTCATGTGTCCCTCTCCCTCACCATTAATCTGCGAAAATCAAGCTTGAGAGGCGGCCTAGAGTTAGCTGGAGAATCCAGCTGAAGAACCCCAGGTATGTAATGCTTAAGCTTCTCCTTTGGAAAGAGACATGCAGAAAGCAACCCATCCTATGCCTATACATGGTGCCTGGTCTGAACATGTCCTCCCAAAACTCATGTGTTGGAACTTAAAGCCCAATACAATAGTATTAGAGGTGGAGGCTTTAGGAGGTGATTAAGTTATGAGGGCAGAGACCTCAATAAATGAGATTAATGACCTCATAAAAAGAGGTGTGAGGGTGCTGCTTCCCTCACTTTTTCCCTTCCATCCCTTCTACCACATGAGGACACACTATTTGTCTCCTCTGGAGGACTCAGCGACAAGCTGCCATCTTGGAAGCAGAGACTGTGCCATTACCGTACAATGAATCTGCCAGCAGCTTGATCTTGAACTTTCAGCCTTCAGGACTGTGAAAAATAAAATTTCTATTGTTTACAAATTACCCAGTGTGGTATTTTGCTATAGTGGCAGAAATGGAGTAAGACACCTGGCATCCTGGCCCCAATATCTTTCTCATCATTCTAGGCTGCTCTGAGAAACTCTCTGTCCTAGTCTGGTGGTGCAAGCTCCTGGATCCATGCACGGTGAGATCCCTTAAAGGATGACTTCTTTTGCTAATGGGAATCTTTCTTGGTTCCTACACCACTGTGATGCTGCTAACCTGGGGGTGGGGTGCCAGTTCCCAAGGCAGTTCAAGGCTGTGAAAAGGACATTCATGTTATTCTCAGAAATTCCAAGTTATTTCCCCTTTCTGCCTCTTGACTGCTGATGTGTTATTCTAACAGCTGTGTCATGCTGCTGTGATGTTCAATACAGAAGCTACTAACCACATGTGCCTATAATGTGCAGTTGAGATGTGGCTAGTTTAAACTGAGATATACTATAAATATAAAATACCACAGGATTTTGAAGACTTACAAAAAAAAAGAATGTAAAATTAGTTGCTAATAATTTTTATGCTGCTCATATGTTGAAATGATACTATATTTTAGAGAGAATGAATTAAACAGAATGCATTAAAATTAATTTCATCTGTTTCCTTTTACTTTGCGTGTGTGTGTATACGGCTACTAGAGAATCTGAAACGACATCTGTGGTTCACATGATATCTCTATTGGACAGTGCTGTTCTAAAGTAGTACCTCACAAGGTAAGGTTTCTGGACCAGCAGGATCATCATCCCCCACAAACCCAGGTTCCAGTGGGATCTGATGGATTAAAAAGTCTGGCGGTGGAGTCTTCCAGGGATTCTTCCGATGCACTTTCAAGTTTGAGAACCACTTCTCTGGTCTATCCCTAGTAATACTTAGCTACACAGGAAAACAAGTGGGTCTGGGCATAGCCTTTGCAGGAGGATAGGCTGGGTCTGAATCCTGGTCTTGTCACTTAGTACCTGCATAAATTTGGGCCACTTAATTAAGCCTCAGTCACCCATCTCTACTATCAGAATTATGGGAGTGTCTACCTTCTTGGGTGGTTGCTCAGTTTAAACGGGATGTTAAATACTTAGCACATGGAAAGTGCTCAGAAGACAGTATGAGTCTTTTTAATTTTCAAGTTGGAGGTTCGCTACAGGCATGTGTCACCACACCTGGCTAATTTTTCTATCAGTAGAGATAAGTTCTCCATGTTGGTCAGGCTGGTCTTGAACTCCTGACCTCAGGTGATCCGCTCACCTCGGCCTTCCAAAGTGCTGGGATTATAGGCATGAGCCATTGCGCCCAGCCAAGTTGTTCTTATCATCATTGTAATTAGAATTCCAGAAACATCTGTGCCTTAGAATTCCCACCCCTTTTCTTCATAGATCATGAATTAACTGTGGGGGTGTGAGGGTGGTTACTGAGGAAGAAATGACTTAGGGGTACAACGTCTATGGCATTGTTCTCTAGTCACACGCATGGGGCGCAGACCTTAAAATGGCAATAATGAGGGGGCACATTACCCTGAAATGTCCATCAACAGTGATGTGGAGGACTTTGGCTAAGTTTTCATTTATTTAGCAAACATTTACTGAACAGGCACTAAATACAAGGCACTACTGAGGTTCCAGGGACATAGCAGTAAAACAAATCATCAAGCTTAAAAACTGATCAATAACGAATTAGTAAACAAAATAAACCAGATAATGATTATTCCTCTTTACACCATGACAGCAGAACTTCCTTCTTGCTTATCTTTGTCTTCTCTGTCCCTAACACTGTGCTTAGGTACAGAGTGAGCACTTAATATAGGTTAATTTTCAGTCTTCCCTTCCTTCAGAGATTAATAGATTTTCTAGAACTTGGGTGGGACTGACTTTATGTATTTTAAGTCAACCTTCTTTCTTTAGAAATGAGGAACTGAGATGAAGTAATGTCCCCAAGTCACAAGCTAACCAAGTCACCCAGCAGAATGGGCTGCTAGGTCTCCTGACCCCTAGCTTCCTTCTTTCTCCATATGCCACCTCCTCTGGCACTGAGAAAGAACGGTCATCTTTGCCTGGTTTGATTTAGGTATGCTAAGAGATGAAACTTGCAACATAAATGCTAGGCTCCATAAGGTGCTGAGATTCTGCTGACCTGAAAGTGTAGGGTATTGTCTAATGTTTCTTTTCTAAACAGCAAGTTAGGCAACAATAGAGTTGTATACACACATTCTAAAGTGACTATGTCAGTGATTAGCAAATAAAATCTTGATATTTTCTCCATAATTCCTCTTATCCTAGAACACATATTGGCAGTTTTATTCATTTTGGCAACAACTATTTATTGAGCTGCTATTGTGTGCCAGGAATATACATCAGTGAACAAGACATAAGAAAACTCTTTATTTTTTTGGAGATGGGGTCTTGATATGTTGTCCAGGCTCTAGGGCAGTGGCTATTCACAGGTGTGATTATAGGACCCGGCAGCCTCTAACTTCCGGAGTCAAGCAATCCTCCATCTCAGCTTCCAGAGTAGCGTGGAATACAGATGGATGGCACCACCCTCAGCTTTGAACAAGGCAGTTAAAAACCCCTGTCCTCATGGAGCTTCCAGAGAGGGAAGCCAGAGCTTTATTCTTTATTCAGAATAAAGGAGTGTTTTACATATTAGAAGGCAGAAAGTGCTGTGGGGTTAAAGCAGAGCTGAGAAGGGGATATGGAGTGTGAAAGGGCTGCAATGTTTTAAAAGAGAGAACGACATCACCGAGAAGGTGATACCTGCGGGAAGACTTGAAGAGGGTAAAGAAATGAATGAACCGGACAGACGTCTGGAAAGAGCAACTCAGACAGAGGACCATTGCAAAGGCCTGAGATGGGAACTAACTGTTCTAGAATGTTCAAGGAAGAGCAGAGAGGCTGGTATGGCTGGGGGTGGGTCAAGGAGGAGAGGACAGAGGAGAAGTCATGGGCAAATTATCCAGGCTCTTTCTGGATTCTGCAAATACAATTAATTGGTTTTGCTACCTTGGCTTTATGACAAAACAAATAAAATAACTGGTTTATGAAAACCGTAACTCTCAGCAAATCTAAGCTGAAAAAATTTTTTTTCAGCAGGTTAACAGCATCAAGCAGTATAAGAAAAGAAAGCAGCATGGCTGGGAGTTACAATGCAGACGTTGAATGATTTTGCTCGCCAAGAATTTAAATATCACTTACCCAAAGGACAGCGTGAACCAGACAATCGTCAGCTTTATTGTATTATCCCTGACGGGGTAGTTGAAACATCTCATAAATGTCAACCAAATCTGTGAAATATTAAAGAGTTAGTTTTCTCATGCAGTTACTTAGTCAACCCCACTCCCTGACCCCTTCCACCAAATTATAAAAAAAAGCTGACTTGTCACTGGGTTGAATTCATTCCACCTTAAAATGTAAAAGCTAAAGGCAATTGGAATTTTCATTCTTTGGCTTCCCGGAGGCCAGTGGGTAAAGTAACTCAAGACCTGAAGGCACTTGGCCACTGCCAAGACTCCTGGCCTAACGCTTTCCCTTCCCACAGATGGAATGTCTTGGCTAAATGCTGGTAGAGAGGGATCCAATTACCAACAGGAAAGAACCTCACTCACAGGACAGATTCAGGAAACCCCTCTTCTGACTGACCTCAAATGCAATCTCTGACACGCAGGTCATCATGGGACTTGTTACTTACTCCGTACAGCTCGGTGCGGATCCGAACAAAACACCGCCTATACCATGTTCCTGTGTCACTTTCAATTTCAATCAGCTCGTCTATTTGTTTCGGAGTTTTTATTTTGTTTACCTGTAGGGAGAAACCGAGCAAAGTGCTGAGTTACCGTCTCCGAAGTTGCTGAGTGTAGGCTCACAATTTGTTTTTATGGGAGCAAAAACCGACTCCAGTAAGAAGTAGGCAGTATTTGGTAATCACTTCATACATACATGAGACCATTGGCATAAATTACAGATCCAAACAGTACCTAGAAGAACTGAAGAAGGAATGAGTGAGCGGGAAAGCCACAGAGAAGCGGGGGAACAGCAAGTAGTAATAGAATAATATGCAATCAAAATGCCCTCCCTGAATCATTACTACAAAGACACACATTAGCAGACAAAACATCAAGGTAAGTTAGATTTTGGATTAAGAATTATTTAGTGTGGACTAAAATGAGTGTATGCATTTTTCTCTGAAACCTACTTATTTGATGAATTTGATCCCTAACTGTAAAGCGTCCCATCAGACTTTTATTCTCAGAGCAGCACTGCCAGTCCTTTCTTCCTTCTCCCACAGCCTAACTCACAGTGGCTAGTCAGCAGATGCCCACAGGGAGTCATGATTCAAGGAGTTTTGATTGCAAGCATCAACGTGAATTTCTCAGCCATGTAAGGGAAATAAACGATAGAGGTTCAGCACGAAAAGCTGCATCTAAAATTCAAGTTAGCCTCTTTTTTGCTAAGGAAGAGAACCACAAAAGAGGAGAAGCACAGAGAATGAATCGTGAAAACAGAAAAAAAGGAAGAATGGGTGCTTTGTGGACCTGGCCTGCCTTCTCCTGCGAATCGAGATTTACCTATTTTGGATAAATCTGAGAGGACATGGAAATGTAAACACATTACCCTTGCCAGAGATTTGAACAGGTTTTTCTGGACATCCTGCCAACATCGAAAGTGGCAACTCTATTGGCAGAATGCAGGTAGGTACCTAGGCCAGTTTTGGACAGAAGTGGCTCGGAGACCATCAGCATCTTTCAAATTATACCAAGTAGGCAGTAGCTTCTTTCCGGCTAGGTAAACAAAGATGTCTGTACTTAGCAAAAACAATCTCTGAGTTAACTATGGAATTCCAAGTCAACTGCAGTCAGCTCAAGATAATCCATGTAGGAATTATTTATTTATTTATTTTACATCACGGGATAATCTTAATCCAACATACTACTTTTGGGAGGCTTCCTCTTTTTCAGTCATTGATGTTTATTTATTTATTCATTGACACCCAAGCAGGATGCAAACATAGGCCGTCATGTGGCTCCAAATAGTTACCATACAAAACAAAAAAGCATTCTAATGGAGATCTATAGAAGATGGGAGGGAAATACCGTTCAGGACAACCTATTTAACCTGGAAGTGAGAGAGAAGCCTTCACGAACTGTAGGCTTATAGAGAAATATGCTATCTGCCATGCTGTAAACTGCTTGGAGGATATTCCAAGTGAGAGAAATACCATGTGCAAACAAACATCCAGAGATAGGAGGGAAAATAGCGTGCTGGGCAACTGCAGAGTTTAAGATTCCTGAAGGATAGTAGGAGGTCAGAGGGCAGTGAATAAGGAGGACTGCACCAAATCAGCAGCGGTGTGGTGATATTTAGGAGGTGGAATAATACAACATAGTGGTTTCTTATACTGAAGATGAAAGAAAGAAATTGGATAGTTTTCGGGTTTAGGTGGTGTTGGTGGCAACTGCTGATGAAATTTAGGGCAATGATGAGGCTTGAGGACTTGTTAGGTGATAAATTCAGATTTAAATATGTCATTTCCCCCCACACCTTGCTGCCCAAAGATGCCATTTTTGAAGGGCCTATGCAATCTAGAAGGATGTCCACAAGCCCTTCAACCTGTAGGCCTGGATCTTAGGAGATTTGTGCATTACGAGACATGCAGGAAATAGCTGAGATCAGTTAAGTGTATACAGTTAAAATGGAAGTTAGCTGAAAATGAAGTATTGGAAAACAATATTTAAGGCAAGGGCACACTAAGGAGAGCTTCAGAGGAGACCTTAGGAGGGCCAGGCACTGTGACTCCTACCTGTAATTTCAGTCCTTTGGGAGGCTGAGGCTGAAGGATCACTTAAACCTAGGAGTTTGAGACCAGCCTGGACAACATAGGGGAGACCCTCGTTGTTAATTATCTACAAATAATTAGCCAGGTATGGTGGCTAATGCCTGTATTCTCAGCTACTAGGGAGGCTGAGGCAGGAGGATCACCTGAACCAGGGAGGCTGAAGCTGCAGTGGGCTGTGATTGCACTATTGCACTCCAGCCTGGACAATAGAATGAGACCCTGTCTCAAAAATAAAAAAGGAGACCTAGGAAAATGCATGCAACTTTGCTGTACTATCGATTTAAAATATAAAAAGATACATTTTTCATGGCAGAATCATGTAACAACTTTGAAAGTCACAAATAAACGACTTGGAAATTATCAGTCACTTTTGGAGTGTACCCATCTTATTCTCTTCTAACCTTCATATAACAAATGAACACAGATCACCATTCACGGACTTGATAACTCAACCCTTTTGGAAGAAAAGGCAGGTAACGTAGGGCAGTGAAGCCCTACAGAGACACCTTTTCAGAAGCTCTTTGGTAAACAGAGGGTTTATCTTCATCTGGCTGAGAAGAAGAATTAAATGATACTGTATATCCAGATAATGTCTCAAGATTCTTCCAGCCTTATGATCCTTTAAGTTAAAATTTTTTCCTTCTATTGGACATCTATTCAAAAGAAGAGAGCAAAGCCTTCCAGGCCTTAATTGAGGATATCTGTTATTTATCTTCATTTCTCCATTACACTGCAGAGAAAATTCTGCTAATTAAGAATCTGTGATAATTTGGGTAGAGGCGAAATTGCCGTCTATCTTTACATTATGAAAAATTCATTTCCTAAATAAAATGAAATTAATAAATAAGATAGCGGGTGACTATTTAATCAGAAGTGATTTCATGTGTTTTAAGAACTGTAATTGATACTATGCATAAGCCACTGAAGATTTTATGTAGGTTCCCACTTACACCTTACTGTATGTCCCTCCAACCGATTGTAGACAAAACATTTTTAGTCTAATTATATGTGGGAAGTAGAAAAGTTCCTTTTTAAAGTTGCCTTTCTTGTTAAAGAATAAGTGTGCTAAGAACTTTGTTAAGCCCTATCCTAGGTAGCTGTTAGACATGCCATGCTTACAGGCACGTAGTACATTCTATGTCCTTGTACTTTAACCAAGATATCTGTGCTGGACATGCTCACAGGCATGCCCCAGCTCTCTGTTGCTTTTACCTGTTTAGAAAAGTTTTAAGTTTTAGCCAGTTGGGTTTTAGTTTAGATTATGGGGTCTGGCTCCAGCCAACGGAGATCAGACACAGCAGTAAGGACAACCCCAAATGCGTAAGGAATAAATTTGTCTGTTTTCCTTTATTCATTGTACTCTTGTGGCAAGATGGCTAGTCAGAATATCCTTCCTGCAGTCCAGGAAATAAAAAATTACATTGCTGAAAGATCCTTTGTCCCAGTGCTAATTTTTCTTTGTGGCACTGAGCATCCATTTCCAACATGATATGATTGTATATATTGAAAGATTTAAAACCATTGTTCCTTCCAAAACATTTCATGCAACCAATTTAAATTAATTTAGACTGGCTTTCCCCTTGGGGAATCAGCTTTGTAACTAAAGATAAAGGAATGTTCCTTGCGGAGCGAAGAGCAGCAGCGTGGCAGTGCTGCATAGTAAGTCAAATGGCGAGTATGAGGCACTGAGGGATGAGTGTAGCTGCAGAGACAGGAACTAGAAAGCAGGGAAGAGTCTGGGAGGCCCTTAGTGTTCAGAGGGAGAGTTTTTGTCTTTATCCTGAGAGCAATGGGAAGCTTCTACAATGTGAAACTGGGGCATGTGTTATGTATGTGTGTGCCCATGTGCATGCATGTATAATAAAATGATATATATAGTTTTGTAATTGTATCTCTGATTCTTTTATACCTTTATGTTCATGTCAAGCCATATCAAGCTAAAGCCACATTCTTGGATTACCTTTCTCTGTCTTCCTACATAGCTATCTTCTTTTACTAAATTCTGATTAATTATTAACCTAAGAAATGGCCATGTGTGAAATGTCTGCCTTTATGTAAAAGTGTTATTGAAAATAATGTCCATTATATTGTTAAATATCCCTTATAATAAGGCCTATGAATAAACTTTTTACAAATTAGAACAAGATAAAATTGACCTTTCCTGAAAAGCAAATACAATACCATTTACTTGATATAATAAATGATGTAATTCATTTCATTTATCCTTTGCTTTGGTTGTCAGGTGATATGGTTTGACTGTGTCCCCACCCAGAACTCAGCTTGAATTGTAGTTCCTATAATTCCCAGGTGTTGTGGGAGGGACCCAGTGGGAGGTAACTAAATCATGGGGACAGTCATCCCCACGCTGCTGTTCTCGTGATAGTGAGTTCCGGCGAGATCTGATGGTTTTACAGGGGGTTTTTCTCCCTTTTGCTCGGCGTTTCTCCTGTTGCTGTCATTTGAAGAAGGACGTGTTTGCTTCCCCTTCTGCCATGATCAGAAGTTTCCTGAGGCCTCCCCAGCCATGCTGAACTGTGAGTCAATTAAACCTTTTTCCTTTATAAATTACCCAGTCTCGGGTGTGTCTTTATTAGCAGGGTGAAAATGGACTAATACATCAGGAAACCCAGAGGTTAGTTTTATGTTCACTTATACTGCTTTGGCCCTTAGTGTAATTGTTTTCTCACTTACTAGATCCTGGTTTTTTTTTTTTTGCTTTTAATAAATAATTTTACAATTTACTATGTATTCCAAGGTTAAAGGCCTCAAGGTGGCCTTAACAGAGGGGGACATCTCTAAGATGTCTCTCTGACATCTTAGAGAAAAGGTTATGGGGCTGCTGTGGGTGTACACCTTTGTGGGGGCTGAATGTCACTTGAAAAGGTGTGACCTGGCTGGGCGAGGTGGCTCACACCTGTAATCCCAGCACTTTGGGAGGCCAAGGCAGGTGGATCACCTGAGGTTGGGAGTTTGAGACCAGCCTAGCCAACATGGTGAAACCCCATCTCTACTAAAAATACAAAAATTAGCTGGATGTGGTGGTGTGTGCCTGTAATCCCAGCTATTCAGGAGGCTGAGGAAGGAGAATCCCTTAAACCTGGGAGGTGGAGATTGCAGTAAGCAGAGATTGTGCCACTGCACTCCAGACTGACAACAGAGCAAGTCTCCATCTCAAAGAAAAAAAAAAAAAAGAAAAGAAAAGAAAAAGAGAAGGCTGAGTGGAGAAAAGGGCCCCACAGAGGCTGGCTCTCCTCCTGTAGCAGGTCAAGGAGAATCTGCTGGCAGTCCCTACACCAAGGATCTCTTATCCTCAGGTACCGAGCCTGGAAGTCAGAGAGTAAGTCTGTGATGAAAATGCAGTCTTTCAACCTTAACCCCATCTCTTGGGTTGGTGTTATCATCTAACCAACCACAGAGCCCTCGAGTTCCTAGATAGGCATAAGCAGGATTGGCAACCTATGGGCCCAAAACAGCCCTCTGCCTATCTCTGTAAATAAAGTTTTATTGACACACAGTCATCCCATTTGTTTTAACGTTGCCTATGGCTGCTTTTGCACTACAACGGCAGAGTTGAGTAGCTGTGTCAAAGACTAGTGTCAAAGACTATATGACTTGCAAAGTCTAAAATATTTATAGTTTTGCCCTTGACAGAAAACACGTCCCAATCCCTGGTGTTGAGGATTCTCTGAGGAGCAGACTCACCGTGAAGACCTTCTCAGGCTGACCCCGGGCTCTCATGTTGGTGTCATGAATTAACTTCAGAATCATCCAAGCTTCATCATGTTTTCCAACCTAAGAAATGAGAGTGGACAGCAGAGCTCTAGGAGTGACACACTTACCCTCCCTGATTTTCCAGTAGCCGTCTTGCATTGTCAGACCAGATGGAGTATTGTGCAAATGTATCTAGGTACATCCCATTGGAACATACAGACTATTTGGATATCACTGAATACATGAGCAGTTCAAATAATGTGGGTGTAACTAGCAATAGTATCTCTGGATGGTAAAATTTCGTTATAAATCAGTAAAAATGTTTTCTTCATTGAGCCAAGTTATTTGCTTAAGGAGGAACATGAGTGCTTTTTGGCTATGAGGCATCTTTTTTACATGCTGGTTGTTGAAAGCATGTCTCCATGAAACCAAACCCTCCTTCGTTCCAAAGGGAAAACGTACCTCCCAAAGAGGCAAATGTACTTTAATTAACAAGGAACTTTTTTCAGTAGATGTGGGCTACCTGAGTTACTGCAATAATAAGTGTTACCTCCAACAAGAATCGTGGGCTTTCAGGCATGAATGTGAGGGCCACCACGGAGGAGACACAGGGGAGTGCACAGACGATGACAAACACACGCCAGCTGTGAAACTGGTAGGCTGATCCCATGCTGAAGCTCCACCCTGGAAAAGGAAGACAGGGAGAGTGAGGGAGCGCTCCTCCCAGACAGCCTCCTGGGAAAGTCACCCGGGATGCCCGCGCCACGGACTTACTAGTCAAGTCTTACTATCCACAGAGCAGTGAGCCGATCTGGGCATCAGCCATAGCGACCAGTTCAACTTTAAGACTCCCAATGACAGAGTTGAGAAGAAAGATGCTTGGAACCAAAGGGGTCAAGGTGTAAGTATGGGGGTGCAGGTATGCATGTACCAAACCCCAAAGGCCAACATTAATTTGGGATGCTTTTTCTGAAAGACTACTGTGCTAGTTATCTTTTGTTTGCTCTTCCAGATCACTCTCCACTCTTTCCCACTCTGCTACGTGCTAGGGAATGGCCCTCTATGGACTGCATCAACCGGCTCCCTTCCCCACTGGCTTGTAGCTGAGTCTCAATAAAGGAAGCAAGGCAAGAGAACAGAGAGTGGAGGAGGGCTGAGATATTTATTTCCCTTGCTTCCCTTCTCCCTCCCCCTGAATGGCTGCAGGTCTGGCAGTAGGGGGTGCTCTCATTTCCTGGGCCTTCTCCCACAGCAGCCACAGCTCTTGTCAGGGTCTGGCCACCACTCCCTCCTGTTGCTCTTTGAGGCATAGGTGGCTCCAGAGTGCTTTATTATTTCTTACTGCTTTCTCTTAACTCTTCCCACATCTTCACAGAGAGTCCCTTCATTAAACTCCTTTCCATGGCCGCTTTGAGGGTGTCATTGGCTTCCTGCCAGTACCCTGACCAGGATGATTATTAGGAATTGATGGTTGTTGCCTGTCTCCTCATACACCTCATGAAAATTTACATTTCTAAATAGAACATTTTAACTTCTATACATTATAAAATTAAGCATAATGAGATGCTTATATGATAAAATTAAGCACAAACAAATTCTTTTAAGAACTAAAAGAAAGCTAATATTTGAATGAATATAAAATGGTTGAAAGCAAACCATTTTATATTCATTCAAATGAATATAAAATTCATTCAAATGGCTGGTTCTAAATGAGAAGTAATGAGGCATACCAAATCTAAATGAAAACAGAGAGGAGATTTATAAAGGCATAGATGAATCATGTAAGGTGAAATTTTAATTTATAGCAATGCTGGTATTTATATGCCTTTTTGTGAACAAAAATCAGATAGTAAACATCCTATTTCCAGGAGAGCTGTATAATTACTCTCTTTACTGGGGAGCCAAGGGAGATTCTGAAGGTGATGTAACTTCCTCAACGCTAAGAGCCAAAGTTACATATTAGTCTTTCCTGCTAGGATTTGAGACGGAATCTTAGAGCTGCACACAGCCTCATGTGTGTGCACGCTCCCTCATTCTTGAACACTGAATTTGTTGACGAATGACGTAAACATCAATGACATGCTATACTAATCTTAGATTAATAGAATCTTTCTGATAATTTAATATATGAAGATTACATGAATTACCATATTAATTATTTCATAAGCTGTAGGGTGTATGATTGCTATGATGTTTTAGGTAGCAGAAGTTCAAAACTCTCACATATCCAAAATGCAGAAAAAACCCTACGATGGAACAGAGAGAACAATTTGCTCAATTCACATTTGATCTCAGAGATTCATATAAAGATCTTTTTTTTTTTTTTTTTTTTTTTTTTTTGAGATGGAATCTTGCTCTGTTGCCCAGGCCGGAGTGCAATGGCACAGTCTCAGCTCATTGCAACCTCCACCTCCTGGGTTCAAGCAATTCTCCTGCCTCAGCCTCCCCAGTAGCGGGGTCTACAGGCATGCACCACCATGCCTGGCTAATTTTTGTATTTTTAGTAGAGATGGGGTTTCACCATGTTGGCCAGGATGGTCTGGAACTCCTGACTTCATGATCCTCCTGCCTCAGCCTCCCAAAGTGCCAGGATTGCATGCGTGAGCCACCACACTCAGCCAAGAACTTCTTTTTAAAAGCTCTAAATCTTATTATTTTAAGGTGGCTGAAAGAAAAATAAAAGCTTTCGGTGGCTGAGTTAAGCAAATGCAATGTTTTAAATTTCAGGCCACAGCACATTTTATAATGTAGAGGGGGAAACAGGGAGGGCAAGAAGAGGGAAAGTCTCTGGCACCATTGTCCTTTTTGTTTGTTTGTTTGTTTTGAGATGGAGTCTCATTCTCACTCTATCGCTCAGGCTGGAGTGCAGTGGCATGATCTCAGTTCACTGCTGTAACCTTTGCCTACTGCGTTCAAGTGGTTCTCATGACTTAGCCTCCTGAGTAGCTGAGAACACAGGTGCCTGCCACCATGCCTGGCTAGTTTTTTGTATTTTTAGTAGAGACAGGGTTTTACCATGTTGATCAGACTGGTCTTGAACTCCTGATCTCAAGTGATCCATCCACCTCAGCCTCCCAAAGTGCTGGGATTACAGGCATGAGCCACTGTGCCTAGCCTCTGATGCCACTGTTCTAATCAATTGTGGAGGAAAAGTTAAATACTAAATTTGAACTCAGTTAAACATGGACACAAACAACAGTCACCAAGTCCCGGAACAGGTTGTGTGAGCCCCCTGAGGCATTCATCCAGCACTGTTTTGGAGAAATCTCAATTTCAATTTATTCCTATATGTTGGTCATTGAAAAACAACAGATAATCACAAAAACAAGTTGACCTTTTGTGTTCCTTGAGCCCAGTCGCAAAGGGCCCTTGTGACTGTGCCTCATGCCAAACAACGAGTGACAAAAGGAGCTAGGGTCCCAGACCACACCGAAGCTTCACGAGACCTCTCCTCGCCTGTGCACGGACGAGTGGCCAACTATGGAACCCAGGCTGTTGCTTCCCGGTCTGCTGGTGAATCCTCCGTAGTCTGGTGAGTGCAGTGTCCGACTCTGGAACTCAGGCTCTAGCTTCCTAGTCTGGTGGTGAATCCTCTACCGTCTGGTGAATGCAAATCTCTTTTCCCTTCTCCCCTCCCCATTGCGATTTGTTTATATCAATCTGCTTATTATATTAATTTGCTTATTTTATCAGTTGGTTATTATATCAATTTGCTTATTATATTATTTGCCTATTATATCTGGATTGCCATTTATGTGGGATAAAGCTTGCTTACCCTTAAAGGTATTGTGTGTGTGCCTTTTCTTCTCCCCTCGAGAATTTCTCACACAAAACATCAATTAGTTCAGAAGGTAAAGTTTTCAAAGGCAAATAGGATAAAGTTATTTAACCAAAGAGAAATCATTCCAACGGATAGAGCAGGAAGCTTCTTATGGTAGAATAATATTCTCTCACCCCTAAAGATGTCCTCATCCTAATCTGAATATGTTACCTTACATGCAAAGCGGCTTTGCAAGTGTTATTAGGTTAAGGATCTTGAGATAAAGAGATTATCTTGTATTATATGGTTAGGCGCCATGTAAGTACAAATGTCCCTGGAAGGAAAAGAGGCAGGTCAGAGAGTCAGATTGAGAAAGGGAGACGGGTTGAAGGAAGCAGAGGTCAGTTTGGAGGGAGATTTGAAGATGCTTCACTGCTGGCTTTGAAGATGGGGGAGTGGGTGAGAAACTAGCGGATGCGCATGGCTGCTGGAAGCCGGAAAATACAAGAACACATGATCTCCCCTAGGGTCTCCACAAGGAGACACCCATTCAAACTTTTGATCTCCAGAACCGTCAGATAACAAATTTGTGTTGTTTAAAGCCAATATGCTCACAGTGATATGTTATAGCAGCAACAGAGACCAATATCCTTCTTACGGTTACGGCTCTACTGCTAACGCGGGTTACAGACGTTAGGTTGAAGAACTGTAGCATTCTCTATAAAACTTCAGGCTCCTTGCCTTTTTTTATTTTTACTTTGCCATAACAAGTTTACTTTTTAAAAGGTATATAGACGGCCGGGCGCGGTGGCTCAAGCCTGTAATCCCAGCACTTTGGGAGGCCGAGGTGGGTGGATCACGAGGTCAAGAGATCGAGACCATCCTGGTCAACATGGTGAAACCCCGTCTCTACTAAAAATACAAAAAAATTAGCTGGGCGTGGTGGCGCGTGCCTGTAATCCCAGCTACTCAGGAGGCTGAGGCAGGAGAATTGCCTGAACCCAGGAGGCGGAGGTTGCGGTGAGCCGAGATCGCGCCATTGCACTCCAGCCTGGGTAACAAGAGCGAAAATCCGTCTCAAAAAAAAAAAAAAAAAAAAAAGGTATATAGACAATAAACAAAGTAAATTTTTAATCAGATCTTAACTTCTGTCCTAGAATTGCTCCATTAAGTTCTTAGTCTATGAACACTTTTAGTTCATTCAATAAGCGTCATCTTCATCAGAGTCCATTACTTTTCTTCTATTAAATTTCACTGTTGTTTTTCTGTTTGTTGGCTTACTCTTTTAAAGCATTTCTATTCGACCTTGTTCTGATGCCTTCTTATTTAGCTGTCCGTATCTTGCCATCTGTGTAAGATAATTCTCTACTGCTTTAGTTTTTTGGGCTTTAAAAGTGCTAAGTTACTTCACCTGGCCTGGGCCGACTGACCCAGAACTTGGGCTAAGATGCTGTTTCTCGTCTCTGCTTCCCTGTGCTTTGCTTCCTGTTGGGCCACACTGCCAGGATCTCCTGTTCCTGGCGGGGCCAGTGCTCCTCCGACCCCTGCTGTGCCCTTGAGACCTGTCGGCTGAACTTGGGTCCGAACAACTGAATTCCAGAAAAACTGAATTAGGCCTGGCTGCAACTGCTGGCACCAAAAGCTGAGGCTGTGCTTGGTCCAGGCCTGGCAGGAAGAGCCACTCCGGGCCAGGGGACCCCATACTCCTACTCCTGGGCAGGTCCCTCTCGTGGTGGCCCCCCCACCACTGGCCTCCTGTGTCCCTCATGATGGGGAAAGCGGCAAGGCCGCCTCGGAACCGGCCACGAGGTCACCGGGGCAGTGCTGTGCAGGCACCCTGCTTTTGCTCGCACTTCTCCAGAAGCCTCTCCAAGGACGCCAGGCTCCGTCTTGACAGCTGGTCTTGGGAACGTTGCTGTTTACT